AAGTGATGTGATTTAAAGATCAGGTCCAGAGTGTTTCGGTAGGTCATCTTTGAATCATAATAGCTATCATAGATGTGGAAGCCGAGAGAGACATTGGGCAACATGCTGGGATTCTCGTTGATCTCATCAACAGCAAACACCAAGGCGAGGATTTGCTGGTAGAACTTTGTCAACAGCCTGCAAATGAAGTGAGGTTTTGTTTGATGGGAAAATTAAACAGTGCACAGAATCTAGATAGGAGAGATTCACCTGCCTGCATATAAAGAGAGGATAAAGCCAGCAAAGTTTATTTACTTATTTGGGCAATCTAAGAATACTGTGTAATTTTAAAAGCTGTTGCATATTTCTTCATATCTTCAGCAACCTGTGTTTGTTTTTGCCACCTTGAAAATTTGGGTATCATCAAAAAAGTTAAGTACCATGCTACTTGGCTATATGCTTTCCTATTTTTTATGCCATCACTTTTCTGTTTCTCTTTAAACAATTAGACTCAAAAAAACTTATTGTTCATTGACAATATGCAATATGCAATATTCTAATAAAACCTCTCCACATATTAAAAAATAAAGTTCTAAAGCAATCCCCCCTTCAAATAAATCAAAGTTATTTTCTGTCCGATTTAGCATATAAGAATAATTAAAATAATATTAATTACCAGTTACTTACAGTGGGGCATCAATGAAGTCCTGGGAAGGGTGTTTCTTGAAGGAAACCATGCGGACTATGTAATAAATATGAGATGCCATTGCACCAATGACCAGGTCACCTGGCTCATGCCACTCATGTGGAACATGAACAGGATGATTTGTTGCACATTTAGCACTTTGTCCTTGGGACACTATATTGGGGAGCAGCAGAAGCAGCAGGAGCAACATCCTGATGGCAAATACCCTTGTGCGCATGGACTCCCCTGCTTCTCTCGACAGTATTATTCCTCTCCTCCACCTGATCTGAACAAGACAAATTGGATGGCAGCTGACTCTGTCAATCTGGCACTTTAAAGGACATGTATCCACCTTATTGTTAGCTTGAACATTGTCACAACAGAATGCCTTGGATACCAAATAAGATGCAGTGGTTTGATATGAAAGAGGGAAACTGATAACTGATAAGTAACAGAGCCCAGCCTAGTTGTCTATGGAGCACAGAGGAGCTTATAATCATTTCAGGATTGCTTGTTGATTCTTTTTCCCCACTGTGACATCTGGAGGTTCAGTCAGGTGGATTGATTATTGTAATTTTCATAATGATAGGGGAGAGAACCAGTTGTGCAGTGTTTTTGGATTCTATGGCGCATCAGCAGTAGGGGAACTGCCAAAATATTACTATTATTATTTTTAAATATATATTTTTGTTTATTTCTCAATATTGTTCCAATAGCGACCTCAATATAACAATACCAATTTTATCTAATTAATGCAATTATGAATGCCAATTATTCAAGTGTCAAATTATATGATTTAATTAAACTGGCCCCCTTGCATGCTAGATTTGATGGCTTCATTCTTCTTCATTATTTCTGTGTTCCGCTATGTTAGGAATTTCCATTGCATTCCATTCACATATAGTAATCTCTTATATAACAGCTACAGTCTTGTGATTTCTATTTGTGTTGGTATATTAGGTAATTTATAAAGTTTGATGTGAGGAACTCTAAATGTAATCCTTATTCTTTCCTGCATGTAACAATACCCCCCTATGATGTTTTCCCGTCCATATATGATGCTGTATCCTTCATTCCTGCAACTGTTGATGGTTCCTATCATGCCCTGTGATAAGCGGTTATTCCACAGGTTCCAAAAGTCACTGCATCACTTTGTCCTGTGATTTGGCTTCCAGTAAAGAAGCAGTGTTCACCATTTTTTCTAGCCTAGGAGGAACGGTCTGAATCTAGACTGCAGATAATAATAATAATAATATAATAAAATTTTATTTATATCCCGCCGAAGCTGGGCTCAGAGCGGCTAATAACAGTAAGAGTAACACAGTTTACATAAAATCACAAGCTATTAATTGAAATACGTTCTAAAATCAATTCATAATCAAATTAATGGCAACCATTGGACTAGAGTTCTATGAGGATTACCAAAGGAGGGGGTCAGACTGTGCCTTGGCCAAAGGCCTGGTGGAACAGCTCTGTCTTGCAGGCCCTGCAGAAAGACATGAAGTCCCGCATGGCCCTAGTCTCTTGTGACAGAGCCTTCCACCACATTGAGGCCACAGCCGAAAAAACCCTGGCTCTGCTTGAAGCCAGCCTAACTTCCCTGCAGTCCGGGACCTCCAAGATGTTTCTGTTTGAAGACCGTAAGGTCATTCATGGGATATACCAGGAGAGGCGGTCCCGTAGGTACGAGGGTCCTGGGCTGTACAGGGTTATAAATGTTAAAACCAGCACCTTAAACCTGATCCTGTACTCCACCGGGAGCCAGTGCAGCTGGTATAGCTCTGGGTGAATGTGATCCTGATAGTTAATCCAAAAGCATCTATTGCCGTAGCTGGTAGACAGGAAGCTGGACCTGCCAATGTAATTATTTTTGTAACATCACAAAATCATAGGCAAGGAATGAACCTACAAGGTCAGCAGGATATCTAGAGTTGAGCTGGCCCCATCCTTTCCCCGCTTCCTATTTCATTAGTATTGTGGGATCCTTCAGTCTCCCACCTATGTAACACTGATCAGACATGGTTTGCCATAACATTAACTGAATGGTGGCAGCAGTTCTGGATAGCATCCTTGCCTTATCAAGAAGTGGGAGCACTGGATTATAGCATCAATACACCAATGGGATATCAGATCCACACAAGGCATAATGGAGAACAGCAACAACTTGGAAAAGAGAGATGTGACAAACTTGGCACCTCAGTTACCGCTCACGCCCATGTGCCCACTCTCACTTAAATATATTGCCCCCACCTCACTGAACAACCTTTGACCTGAAGGCTTAAAAACAAAACCTCTCTATCCCAGGGGGATCTTTGTGAGGGGGATAACCAAGAAGTTAGAGTCTCAAACAGGTGTTCTTTAAATAAACAATAAAGATTTATTTTTAGAACAAGGTAGTATAATACAACTGGAGAAACTGAGGTTACTTCAATAAGAATACACTACTTCACTTCAATTCGCTTTCAGAGGTTTGGGCTTTATAGTTTGTTTCCTTTCTAAGGTGGTACTTTCCTTCAGTTACCCACCCCTTTAACAAATGCAGCTCCTGAGGTACTATCAGTAAAAGTCTTAAGGGCTCACCCCCCATCTGCCTTCACTGGGATTTGGGAGTCTCTTCGTTCCTCAGAAGAGTCTCTCCCCTCCAGATTAGTTGGAGACCTAAGTAGACTCATCTCTTTCAGCTCCTCCTTCTCCTGTCTCACCCTCAGTCTCCCAGCAAGATCCGGTCCTATTACTCCTGCAGGACATTACACTCAGTCCTTCACGGTACACTCAGAGTGGATGTTTTATTCCAGAACCAACTCTCCCTCCTCCACACTCCTATCCTATCTCCCTAACTCCCAACCTCTCCAGCCTCCCTCCTCAACCACCTCAACTCAACCCCCCTCTTAACCACACTCTAACTCCATCTCCCTCGAAGTGTGTTCCTTTTAAACTCTCCCTTCTGGAACCACAGCCAATCAGAGGCTGCGGTTCTTTAACCATTTACTGGCAGGAGAAAAAAGTAAAAAGAAATACTTGTGGAACCAACATTTCCGTCACAACAGACACAACATTTTACAGGAACTGGAAGAAACACCATGGACAGAATAACTGCCACACACAGGAAGAACAAGGATGTAGTTTGAGTGCCACATTTGTAGTTCTATGAATCATTTCATGTGTCAACACGAATAGAAGTTATTAATATTGCAGTTGTTGCATAAAGGATTATTATTCTGACCGGTATATAATAGAAAGTAATAAGATTTTGGAACGTAGAAATAAAGGAAATCATCTAGCATGAGGGGGGGGGGCACCTAAATTATATGATTCGGTATTTGAGTGATTAGTATTAGTATTATAATTTGATATTGTTTTAATGACGCTATTATTGGATGATAATTGTAAATTAATAAAAATTATTATAACAGAAATAATGTTTTCCTCCAGATATTGTTGCATATCTCTGCTACTTTTCTTTCTTAAAACTATTTAAAAAACAAGGGAAGTGGCTGTTTTAAACTTCTCCTTCTATTCCTCAGCTGCCTTGTGCGACAGAGATAAAGAATGTAGAGCCCTTAACTATTTCACAAATGTTTGTTGTTTCTGTGTTGTCTTCAAGATGAATTTGCAGATTCCATGAAGTAATTGATAAGAGACTTTTTATTAACAATCATTCATACAGTGCATGTACAACATTGAACAACTGAACTTAACCATTTCTAAATGAAAAGGCTGAGAGTTTTGCTATTAAGATTCCATTTGCTTTAAATATACAGTAATACATGACAGGGGTGTATGGAGTGTTAGGGAGGGGTAGTAACTCTACCAGGGAACAAGTCGTTCTCCTTCTAGGGTAGTTTGTCTACCTCAGATCCCCACCCTGCACTCAGTTCTCACCTGTGGCTCCTAGACGTTGTCAGCATGCAACAGCAGCCACATCCCACAAAACAAATTCAACTGACTGCCTAAATCAGGTGAGGGCAGCCATGGGCCTCAAATCCTCAGTGAGTTAGGGAATTTCTCTGCATGCAAAGACAGGATATAGCTCAAAAAGGTGGCTACTGCAAGTGCTGTAGAGGGAAATGAGGGGCAGATGGGTCTCGTAAACCTAGGAAGGGAGCCCACCTAGGAGAAGGAAACTTTGAACCTAAACCTCCATTGCTTTACAGCATTACTCATTTGTGAAGAAGGCTTTGGGAGTAGAACCTGAGGAAAAATCTGCACCCATTGCCTTTGGGAAACTTTGGCAGACAAAAAAGTTAAGAAGCAAATTTTACATATATCCAGAGTTAGGACGCGTAAAGTGATACCAGCCAGCAAGTCCCAACAGAACCACAAATTCCACTGTCATTTATACCTTTCTTTGTGTTAGCTGCTCTCTGTTGTTCAGGTCTGGCCTCACCACAATTATGTAGCATTTAGGGGTGAAAATGCAAGCCAGTAACCCAGCACCAGAAGCAAAGATGGAGAAGATCTCCACAGCCACCATGTATTTTCCTCTGGTGCTCAGGTAGGTTGGAATGAAGGAGAGCCAAACACTGCAGAAGACCAGCATGCTGAAGGTGATGAACTTGGCTTCGTTGAAAGTGTCAGGCAACTTCCTGGCTAGGAAGGCCACCGTGAAGCTGATAGTGGCCAGGAACCCCATGTAGCCCAAAACACAATAGAACATGGAAACTGACCCTTCATTACAAAGAAATATGATTTCTTCAGGCATTGATTGCATGTCCACATCTGGGAATGGGGGAGAGGTTGCCAGCCAGAGGACACAGATTCCTACTTGAACAATGGAACAGGAAAAAACAATGGAATAAGCCAGTTCTTTGCCTACCCATTTCCTCATATTGGATCCTGGTTTGGTAGCCATGAATGCCAAAACCACCAGTATGGTTTTGGCTAAGATGCTGGAGAGGGCCACAGAGAAGACAATGCCAAAAGCAGTTTGTCGGAGAAGGCAAGTCGCCATATTAGGTTTTCCGATAAACAACAAAGAAGAGAGGAAACACAAGAGGAGGGAGATAAGGAGACCATAGGTGAGGCTTCGGTTGTTGGCTTTGACTATGGCTGTATTGCGATGCTTAATGAAGATGCCTAGCACTAAAATTGTGACCAGAGAGAATAAAAGTGCAGAGGAAGTTGAAACAATGGTCAGGGTTTCATCAAAGGCTAGGAAGTTTGGAATCTTAGGAATGCATAGATCCTGGCCGCTGTTTGGATACTGATCTGCTGGGCAACTGATACATGTTTCCATGTCTGAAAATACACAAGTAATGTGTGAAATTTGAAGTAACCAAAAGTATTCTTAAGAATTTCACATCACTAGTCCATTTTGCATAGTGTTTTCTACGTCAGAATGTATAAGAGCTTCAAGCCCAAATGCTTTTGTACTAGGTGTATCAAAAATAAAACTTGTGTATCAATTCTGGAATTTTCTACATGGGTGACATCTTTTTTTACTGTCCCCCTGCTTTTTCTTAGAGCCACATAAACAGTACAACAAAATAAATACATTACATCTGAAATTTTTGGATCTCGGAAAAGCGAGTTTGATAAGACTTTCATCCTATTGTCAAAAACCTAATTATTTGAGGAGAAAACACCACTTATATTCCACCCTAATTTTGTAGAAGATGGAGGTAAAATATATTAAAGGTAAAGGTAAAGGGACCCCTGACCATTAGGGGTTGCGGCGCTTCTCTCGCTTTATTGGCCGAGGGAGCCGGCGTACATGCTGCCAGCATGACTAAGCCACTTCTGGTGAACCGGAGCAGCGCACAGAAACGCCATTTACCTTCCTGCTGGAGCGGTACCTTGCACTTTGATGTGCTTTCGAACTGCTAGGTTGGCAGGAGCAGGGACCAAGCAGTGGCAGAGCACCCTGTTGCGGGGATTTGAACTGTCGACCTTCTGATCTGCAAGTCCTAGGCGCTGTGGTTTAACCCACAGCGCCACCCGTGTCCCCAGAATATATTAGCTTCCACTTAAAAAAGAAAAAAAATATATTGATGTTATCTATAAACAATGGGAAGAACAAATCTGTTAATTTAAGCCTTCTCTCCTGCAGCAGTTTAATGTCAACAAAATTCCCAGGAGCCCAGAGGTTCTGCAGTATCTTAAGATGTCATCTCTAACCTTTCTCATTTGAAATCATTCCTTCTGCACATGGATCACAATCATAGCAGCAAAACTTCTCCCCCTCCTTCTTTTTCTTCCCGTAACCAGGATGGCACTTGGCATTACATACAGAAAGCGGTGGCACCTATGCAAAGAGATAGGAAGAGTTTAATATATGATATTGTTTTGGGGAATTTACCAAATATCCACTATTAGGTGATTTAATAGTAAATGGGGGACTAATAGCGTGAAATTATCCGTAGGTACACTTATTCTTAAGGAAATCAGCCCTGAGTGCTCACTGGAAGGACAGATCCTGAAGCTGAGACTCCAATACTTTGGCCACCTCATGAGAAGAGAAGATTCCCTGGAAGAGACCCTGATGTTGGGAAAGATGGAGGGCACAAGGAGAAGGGCCGACAGAGGACGAGATGGTTGAACAGTGTTCTCGAAGCTACCAGCATGAGTTTGACTAAACTGCGGGAGGCAGTGGAAGACAGAGTGCCTGGTGTGCTCTGGTCCATGGGGACATGAAGAGTCGGACACGACTAAACGACTAAACAACAACAAAACACAAGTGGCACATACAGTAGGGTAAAAACCTGCTTTTCTAAGCATCATACAAGCTTAAGAAGATGTCAGTATTCATGCCTGGACCATCCAACCTTATAGCTGTGTTTGACTCCATCAAAAGGCCAAGCCAGGGGTGAAATCACACCGAATTCTGTGTGATTTGACCCCTGGTTTGGCCTTTTGATGGAGTCACCACCTAACGGCATTTGCTTCAAGGAGTTCACATGGTGTTCCTTTGTGTGGCACAAGGAATTAAAGGTAAGCCATTATAGTGGTTCTGCTCCTACCTGCAGGGTCATTACAAGAAACTAGCAATAGGAAATCATTCCATGACTTTTGGGTAGTGGTTTCCTGTTAGGCCACATCCTGTCTCAGAGAGAAATGCTTTCGGGTCCTGTGCCTGACCTGTTCTGGGAGGAGTTGCATTCCATTTGAAGCAAGAGGTCTGGGAGCACTCCTCTATTCTAACTCATCACTAGTCTGAAGTGGTTTCAAGTGCTAGTGAATTTCAAAATGAATAATGTGTGAAGTGCTTTTGTTACATCCCATTTTGTGGATAACCACAAATACTGGGTTTTCAGGGACTGTGCCATTATTTCCATACCTTAGTGAAGCGTCTGTGCCATTTGATTCTGTCTTCATTAATGGTGAGCTCTTTGCCCTGGAGGGGCCTGAGGATCCAAGCTGCCCACTTTGACTCTGACATAGGAATTATTTGGGAAAGTGACCAAGTTGGTAATATCAAAGCCAGCTGCTAACTCTCCATATTCATTTAATGCAATTTCATCCCCAGCACTGTTGTTGAATGAGATTCTCTGCAGGAATGAGTGGAGCTAAGTGGAAAGAGAATGGAAGTTAAATGCTTCAGTTCACAATGGAGAGCATCCATATTTTAGTTGCGCATACAGGAGGAGTAGGAGATCATAAATCAGTGTCAATTCAACATTCAACAGACTTGCATAAATATATTATGAAGAGATGAGACCATAGACCTGCTTGCTTGAGACCAGCCTTTGTCTGTATCTAAGAAAGGGAAGGAATTTGAGAAGTCATGGAAGAGAAGAGATGGGAGCTTATGATCTGGAAGGATGGGAATGCAACATGAGAACATCGGACTGGACCTTTCCATAATTTATAGAGTGGATTTGAGCATGGTTGGATGTTAGATGCAGAGAAGTGGGAGGAAGCAGCTGCTGGGGAACCCAAAAGGGACACCCCAAGGAAAGGAGGCTCAGAGCCAGGGGATTGGTGGTGGGATGACAAGGAGTGGTCAGTGGGAGAATAGAAGAAGAAGAGTTTGGATTTGATATCTCGCCTTTCACTCCCCTTCAGGAGTCTCAACGCGGCTAACATTCTCCTTTCCCTTCCTCCCCCACAACAAACACTCTGTGAGCTGAGTGGGGCTGAGAGACTTCAGAGAAGTGTGACTGGCCCACGGTCACCCAGCAGCTGCATGTGGAGGAGCGGAGACGCGAACCCGGTTCCCCAGATTAGGAGACTACCGCTCTTAACCACTACACCACACTGGCTCACTAGGGACACACTCACCACACTAGGGAGCAAACTGGGAGGAGGAGGTGTCAGAAACAGAAAAGGCAACAGGGTTAAGGGAGCAGGAAGAGGCAGTGGCAGACTGAAATCCAGACTCAGAGGCAGAAGAGGAGAAGGGAGAAAAGCAGGGTCTAGAGACAGTGATCAAACAGTTGCCAGTGTCTTCTGGGGACCTACCAGTGAGGCCAGAAACCCCTGGTGATTGGCAGACAGGGAAAGATGAGGAGTTGGACAATGGGGCCTTCCAAGATGTTCCCAGGTAGTGGCAGCTCCCTGATGGGCTGCTCTTCTGTTTTCTCTTGGATATGAGTATTCCTGCAATAGCCAGTGCCTGGGTTGGGGTCCTGGTTGTTCTCCCTCAGAATTATGTGCCCAGGGCCAATGGGCCCCAGGCCCCCAACCTTACACCACTGGGTAACTGGACAGGTAAGAGAGACAGAGATAATTGGGGAGGGATATGGGGAGAAAACGGAGGGGTTTGCAGTGTGAAGGAGGTGGTTGGCACAGCTACAGTTACCTGTAGTTGTTGGTAGTCTGTTGCTTCTGAAAGTCTGTGTCATTTAAAGTCTGTTTCATATCATTATATTCAATATTCTAATTCCCATCTTTCATACAATAAATTTACTTAAGGTTTATTTTTAATTTCTTAAGTTTTATTCTTTTATTTCTTTACTGATGATTAAATGCCAACTCACATAATGTACCAATGCAGTGAATGCTTTGTAACAAGGAACAATACCTGCCAAGGATTTGCATACCGAGGAGAGAGTTTTCCCTTAGCACCTCTTCTGTTGCGGATGGCTCCAGCCAAGTGCATGCTATTTAAGGCATGTGCCAAAGCATAGACAGCATTATAAACACTGTAGCTGTGGCCAGTCATGCTCATTTCAAAAAATGGTGCAGGGAGGCTCTCCAGCATCTCCTCTCCAGTACACATGGTTGCTGAGAGAGTGGAATTTGGAAGTGAACAACTGAATGCATCTTCCCAGAAATCTTGGATAAAACCATCTGCGTCTGTCCAATGAGGATATATACGCTGAAGAAAGTCTTTAAAGTTGTGAATCTCCTTGGAGTGAATTGCAAAGGATATAGCACCATGGAGAATTCGTATATTAAAATTAAATTTTTTTTGAAGGCTATATAATATGAAATCAATTTGGGTAGTTGTAATCCATACTTTTCCTTCATGTGACTTCTTTTGAGGAAATAGTAGCTGAGTAAACTCCATCACGATAAAAGCATTTGCCAACCATATACTAAATCTACTTCCTCCATGTAGAAGAATTGCATTAGCTTTGCTTGTTGTGAAACTTGGTAACTTAATCTTTATGTCCACCATTTCTAGAAAGTTACTGTTATAATTTATATTGGGTTTAACTCTTTCTGTGAATGCCGAACAGATTCCATTCTTGAAAAGCATTGGCTCAATGTTCTGCAAGAAACGTTCCCCAGCTTCATTAGCTGGAGTGATGAGCCCAACCCATTTCCATCTGAAATGCAGAAGTAACTGGATAATTCCCTGAAACTGAAGGTCTTCATTGGGGACCATGCGGTAAAAGGAAGGGAACTTGGTTCCATAATTTATGGCTGGTTCAAATGAACCGTATGAAATCTGGAAAAAGCAAAAGCCAAATGTTTTCAAGTGGAAACAAGAACTCATGATATCAGTGGCGTAGCGTGGGGGGTGCAGGGGGGGCCGTCCGCACCGGGCGCAACATCTGGGGGTTAGGGTTAGTGGGTTCAAATCCACGGGTTAGGGGGCGCAAATCCATGGGTTAGGGGGCGCAAATTACTTGCCTTGCCCCGGGTGCTGACAACCCACGCTACGCACTGCATGATATTCCAATTTATTTAGATATAAACACATGCACGCACACACACTTAAATATTGAATATATATTGAATCTATATCCGAAGTTTACCAAGTTTAGGGAGAGCACCAACCCCAGCTTGTACATACTGATTGTATCCAAGAATAGGGAGCATTTGGGGGAGGAGCTTCCGGCAAGCTGCGATGGAGGATTGCTGAATTCCATCACTGCTGTATATTCTGGAATCAGAGGCTGAGATGGGAGTAATCAGCCTCCCTACATTCCCCAGGCTGGGGAGTGGCAGCTCATCCGCAGATCGCCCAACACCCCAAATTCAGAAGGAGGGGCTGGGGGCGCTGGATGGAAAGCCCGGAATGTTTCTTGGCAACTCTTTAAAGTCACCACCATTTAGCAGCAAGCTTCCAGTTCTTTAGACGAAAAATTGGGTTTAAGTTTTGGACATGATCTTAGCGAAGGGGGAGAAACTACTCTGCTAATTAATTCAGCCACTGAGGTGCTAAAAAGTATTTGAATGGAAGAAGGATTAACATCTACGTAGATTTCGTTGACGCGCAGCGTAAATTAATAGTGCAGAGTTTTTAAAGAATAAAAGCTTTACTGAGTTAAAATAAACTTCTTCATAAACAACATGGTTCCAAACAGTTTGACTGAGATTACATACAGACTCTGTTCACAGCTAAAGCAGACTGACTCTCACATCTTACAGAGAGCACAAAGTGAAACTGGCTACTAAGTCACATGTCAGAATGACTCAACAGTTAGCAGTTAGGCCTGAATAACTTTAGCTATTGTGCAGTCCCAGCACTTCCCAGCCTGCTACACGTTGCACCCTAGGGAACGCTTTTGTAAATAAATCAGACAAATTATCCTGTGATTGACAATAAACCAACTTAATCACATTACGTTGTATATAGTCTTTAACATTGAAAAATTTGATCGCCACGTGTTTTGCACGTGCTGAAGTGTTCCCTGAATTAGCCATTGAGATACAAGCTTAATATCCTCATAGATTGTCACAGGCTGTTGCACTTCATATCCCAAATCATTTAATACCTGGGTGTACCATGTGACTTCCTTACACACTTCAAATAATGCAGAAAATTCTGCTTCACATGTAGATGTGGCAACAAAACCTTGCTTTTTGGATTTCCAACCAATTAGTGAATTTCTAAACATGACCACTAGACCGCTGATTGATTTTCTCGTGGATGGAAATTTGTGAAGTCATTGTCCACAAACACCTGCAAATCACTTGAATTAGATGCAGATAACTTTATACACTTATTCTGTGTACCCTTCAGATCTCAGTATTCGCTTCAGAGCAGCCCAATCATGTATACTAGGCTTAGTTACTTTCTGCTTAGAATACCTACACAAAATGAAATACCAGGCCTTGACCATTGGCTCAGGTACAGAAGAGATCCTATTACCAATTGGTATAAATCTGTTTGAAAATCTACAGTCATAGGAGTTTGCACAGCATTACAATCCTGCATTTCTAGCTGTTCAAGCAGACCTTTAATCTTTTGCTCTTGGCATATTAAGAAACTTCCATCTGCTTCTCTGCCTATTTGGACCCCTAAATAGTGACTTATTGGTCCTAGGTCTTTCAGTTTGAAATGTTTTTCCAACTGATTTTGCCTAGAATTAGAAACGGAATGATGCAGCTCCAATTAAACGAGCGGCCATGACCGAAAGTAGATCAGCTTGCAAAATTAAATGCGGTGCCTTAGGGGGATAGGTGCCTTTTAATATCTTACTTAATATTTGCATCCCCAGTTTTATATGGCAAAACCTTCCCTGGACAGGTTAACCATTTGAAGGACAGCTGGTCTTAAAAGCATTGGGCAGATGCCTTGCTTTGATTTTATCTGGACTGACTTGGCTGCTGCCCGAGATGAGAAGATTTTTGGACTGGCTTGGCGGAAACATCATTTTGTTAAGAGACATGGTGAACATACAGAGGGAACTCGGGATGTAAATTCCACACAGAATATATTGTTTTGTTTTATCTCGCTTGTTCAGAGGCTGTGAAATGTAATGAGTATTAAGATTGGAATGATTTATGGGAACTATCATGAAAATTATGAAAGCTGCAGAAGTATGAGATGATCAGAACCACCTCGACCTCAGAACATGGGAAGATACCTCCAATATTTTTTTATAATTTGGCATAATATTTGGACTGTTTGATTGTTGAATAATATGTATAATTTAGAATATTTAATACGATTGGATAGGATTGTTAAAGTGGAAAATTTAATAAATATTATTTTTTTAAAAAAGAAGAATAGGGGAGCATTTATCATGGCTCATGTTAATATACTAAGTGGGTGACCAACACTATTTAAAACAACTAAAATGAAATACAACAATGCAGGAGAATAGCACAATGCTGACACCACTATATAAGGCTCTGAAGTGACAGATGACAAATGCCAGAACAATGCAAGAAAACACTTTTTCAACTAGCCTCTGAAAGTGAACAATGTTGATTAACACCATACTCTGGGAAAGGACTGTCCTGATTTTTAAGGGAAGAAACATTTTTAGTTAACATGTTCTCAGTTATTTTTGCCTATGAAGCCAATGTCAATGTCATATATTCAGTAGCTCACAGGAATCCAGTGCAGTTCATTCAGGATTGATGTATATGAACCAGTCTAGGTGCCTCCTTTACAAACCTGGCAGCTTTACAGAAATCTTCTATTACATCTATTAAACACAAATTGCCCTTCTTACACACATTGTTGGTTATGCATATTATGGCCCTTTTACTTTGTGTATTTTCCCACTCCATATTTATGAATCAGTAGATTCCTAATGCAAGGAAAGCATGAAATCTCTGTTTTTCAAAATCCATATTCTACCTGTGGAATCTTGAAAAGACCTAAGACGTTTGCCATGCACCAGGAGGTATCAGAGCTGAGTCCCCCAATGACTCCTATGACATTTTTCTGGATGCCACACCTGTAGTTGGGAACAAAGTGATGTGATTTAAAGAGCAGATCCAGAGTGGTTCGGTAGGTCATCTTTGAATCATAATAGCTATCATAGATGTGGAAGCCGAGAGAGACATTGGGCAACATCCTGGGATTCTCGTTGATCTCATCAACAGCAAACACCAAGGCCAGAATTTGCTGGTAGAACTTTGTCAACACCCTGCAAATGAAGTGAGGTTTTGTTTGATGGGAAAATTAAACAGTGCACAGAATCTAGATAGGAGAGATTCACCTGCCTGCATATAGAGGATAAAGCCAGCAAAGCTTATTTACTTATTTGGGCAATCTAAGAATATTGAGTAATTTTAAAAGCCGTTGCATATTTCTTTATATCTTCAGCAACCCATATTTGTTTTCGCCACCTTGAAAACTTGGGTATTATGAAAAAAGTTGAGTACTATACTACTTGGCTATATGCTTTTCCTATTTTTAATGCCATCTCTTTTCTCTTTCTCCTATTCTCTTTTCTGTCTGTCTTTATAGATTTGGTGTTTTTAAAAAGCTTATTGTTCATTGACAATATGCACATAGTCTATATGCACAGAGATTTCTAATAAAATCTCTCCACACATTTAAAAAATAAAGTTCTAAAGCAATCCCCCTTCAAATCAATCAAAGTTATTTTCTGTCAGATATAAGGAATAATTATAATAATATTAATTAACGGTTACTTACAGTGGGGCATCAATGAAGTGCTGGGAAGGGTGTTTCTTGAAGGAAACCGTGCGGACTATGTAATAAATATGAGATGCCATTGCACCAATGACCAGGTCACCTGGCTCATACCACTCGTGTGGAACATGAACAGGATTATTTGTTGCGCATTTAGCACTTTGTCCTTGGGACACTATATTAGGAAGCAGCAGAAGCAGCAGAAGCAACATCCTGATTGCAAATACCCTTGTCTGCATGGACTCCCCTGCTTCTCTCTACAGTATTATTCCTCTCCTCCACCTGATCTGAACAAGACAAATTGGGTGGCAGCTGAGTCAGTCAATTTGGCACTTTAACGGACATGAATCCACCTTATTGTTAGCTTGAACATGGTCACAACAGAATGCCTTGGATGCCAGTGGTTTGACAGGAAAAAGGGAAACTGATAACTGATAAGTTACAGAGCCCAGCCTAGTTGTCTATGGAGCACAGAGGAGCTTATAATCATTTCAGGCTTGCTTGTTGATTCTTTTTTTCCACTGTGACATCTAGAGCTTCAGTCAGGTAGATTGATTATTGTAATTTTAGTAATGATAGGGGAGAGAATCACTTGCACTGTGCTTTTTGATTCTATGGCGCATAAGGAGTATGGGAACTGCCAAAATATTACTATTATTATTTTTTAAATATATATTTTTATTGATTTTCTTGATTTAGAGAATCACTTGTGCAGTGTTTTTGGGTTCTATGGCGCATCAGCAGTAGCGGAACTGCCAAATTATTACTATTATTATTTTTTAAATATATAATTTTATTGATTTACCAATATTGTTCCAAAAGTGACCTCATCATAACAAAACCAGTTTTATCTAATTAGTGCAATTATGAACGCCAATTATTCAAATGTCAAATGATATGATTTATTTAAATGTATCCCCTTGCGTGCTAGATTTGCTGGCTTCATTCTTCTTGATTATTTCTGTGTTTCACTATGTTAATAATTTCCATTGCATTCCATGCACATATAATAATCTCTTATATAACAGCTGCAGTCTTGTGATTTCTGTTTGTGTTGGTATATTAGATAATTTATAAAGTTTCAAGTGAGGAACTCTAAGTGTAATCCTTATTCTTTCCTGCGTGCTACAATTCCTCCCATGATATTTTCCTGTCCATATATGGTGCTGTATCTTTCATTCCTACAACTGTTGATGGTTCCCCTCATGCCGTGGGAGAAGTGGTTATCCCATAGTTTCTAAAAGTCACTGCATCACTTTGTCCTGTGATTTGGCTTCCAGTAAACAAGCAGTGTTCATCATTTTTTCCAGCCTAGGAGGAACGGTCTGAATCCAGACTGCAGATAGCTAATCCTAAAGCAGCTATTGCCGCAGCTGGTAGACAAGAAGCAGGATCTCTTTGGCAACTGGTCTCCGACTCAATGAAAAACAGTTCTTCAGCCCCCAGCTGTGTCATTCCAGCTCAGGTTTGGGAGAACCACTTCAGAAATATATTTATGGAAAATCCAAACCTCCCTTCCAGCTTACAGGATGATGACAGGGCAGAATTGTCACTGCTCCCTAATTGGAGGCCGGTTACTGTGGAGGAAGTCCATACATTAATTGGGAATCTGAAGAGTGGAAAGGCTCCGGGGAAAGACTTTATCCCAGCAGAACTGATTACATCAAACCAGCACTGGTGGGCTCCGCTTCTGGCAGCACTCTTTACAGTAGTAAATAACTCAGGCAAGGTACCATATAGCTGGAAACATGCTATAGTAGTTCCAATCTTTAAGAGAGGCCACCCAAATGTGCCTTCCAATTATAGGCCAATTAGCCTGCTCTCAATAATTGGGAAGCTGTATGCCCGTTTCCTCAGTAGCAAACTGACAACTTTTCTAAATGAACACAATATACTATCTGAAGCCCAGGCAGCTTTCCGTGAGAACCATTCAACAACAGACCACTGTCTAATGCTGTCCTTCCTAGCCAAGAAGTATACCAGGCCTCTACAGGGTAAACTCTTTGTGGCCTTCATGGATCTGAAATCAGCGTTTGACTCCATCCCCAGATCCCAGCTATGGTCCAAATTAAGTCTGATTCTGCAGGACAAACGACTCCTCTTTCTCATAAAAGCCATGTATAATGGAACCAAACTGCAAGTCCGATGCGGTCGACAGGGACAGCTATCGAACAGCATCGAGATGACTAGGGGGGTGAGACAGGGTTGTATTTTGGCCCCCACATTGTTTTGTCTATTCTTAAATGACCTAGAAGAGAACTTAATGGACCCAGATGGACACACTCCAAAAATAGGAATGAGAAGGACCCCCTTGTTGGTATATGCTGATGATGCAGCCATCATCTCACGTTCCAGACCAGGTTTGAATTATCTGTTGAGGAAATTTTCTGATTACTGTTCTGGAAATGGTTTATCCATTAATTATGAAAAATCTAAAATTTTAGTCTTCGAAAGAAGATTCTCCCGGGCTAAATGGGTGCTGGATGGCCATAACCTTGCACAGGTAAAATACTTCAGTTATCTAGGGCTCACATTCCATCATACAGGATCTTGGAAGCACCATTGGCAAACCTCCCTTCAAAAGGCGGAGATTACAAAGCTAGCCATACTTAGATTCTTCTCCACAAAGGGCGGCAAATATGTTCCAGCAGCCTTAAGAGTTTTCAACGCAAAGCCCGTTTCCCAACTCCTGTATGCAGCAAATGTCTGGCATAATGGGGACCTGCCAAAGCTTGATGGCTTCCAGGCAAAATTTCTACGATCTCTGCTGCAGGTACCTAACTGCATCCCCAACTCCGTACTTCTGTTAGAAGCTGTTGAATGCCCAATTTCAACTAAAGCGTGGTGGGCTGCCCTAAAACATTGGCTCAGGATTTCAGTGTATAATCTAGGGAAGGGTTTGTACCGGATGTCAGGGAGAGGCAAATGGGAAAAGATGAAAGCACAGAAACCAGCAGTTATAGAGAGCCTAAAGAGATTATCAGCAGCTTGTCGTCTGATAGTCAGTCTGACGTAGAGGGGGAGGAGGATGAGCCTGGGACAAGTCATGCTGTACACAGAGGAAGTAAGGGGAGGAGTTTTCACAGACTTGCATGCTAGGTGCGGAAAAGGAGGAAGTAAGATTAGAAGGAGCAACTGCGCACAAGGGAAGGACGCTAATCGTAACGCCGGAGATGTACGTTTGAACTTTGTCAAATAAATCAAATAGTTTGGAACTGGCTGGGAGCCCGGAGTCTTATCTATGCCAGCTGGCCAGCATTAAGCCTCTGACAGCTTGCTCCCTCTCCTCTTTTCTGTGCTGGAAAGCTGGTGGAATAAGGAAATAGCTCCAACATGGAGAAGGAGCTGTTGGAATTGAAAAAGCGAAATGTCGCTCTGGAGCAAAGATTACAAGACCTGCAGAGTCGTTTGGAAGAAGCCCGGACTGCTCAGAGAGGAACCCAAGGTGAGCTATCGGCAGATGGGGGCAGATGCGTGTGGGTGGAACAGTTCCAGGGAGACACGGAAAGTTACTTGGATTTCAAGACAGAGATGAAATATTTTCTGGAACTGGAAGCAGATAAGTTTCAGAACGATGCAGCAAAGGTTGCTCACATCATTAGGCATCTGGGAGGAGGGGCTAGAAGCTGGATCAGGCCGTTAATAGCCTCGGGGAATGAAGCCCTCAGAAATGAAGCCAAATTTTGGCAAGCAATGGATTTTATCTATGCAGATCAGAGTTTAATTGACAGAACGCAGGAGGAGCTGCTGGCTTTGAGACAAGGCAAATCCACGGTATGCAGTTACTGGTCTGAGTTTGCTATGCTTGTACAGAAACTGGGGTGGGATTTAGAGGCGGACCCAGTACAAGCGATATTTAAAAATGGACTTAATCCAGAAATAAAGGACGAGCTGGCAAGGGGGCCACGACCTAAAAATATGGACGAATTAACAAAGGCTGCTCTTGGGGTGGGTTTGAGACAAGAAGCCAGATGGCGGGAAAGGAAGCAAGGCAGAGAGCGGAGTTTCCATGGTGACCGCATTCCTGAAATTCCGGCAGCTGCCTCAGAATGTCAACAAACGCAGGAGCCTATGGAGATAGGCACAGCCAGGGCGCGGGAGAGTTTGAAAGCCCAACGGTCTGGCGGGAAGGGAAAAAAAGACTGGCAAGCGGGAAAAAGATGTTTTGTGTGTCAGAAAACTGGGCACTTTGCCAGAGTGTGTCCAGAGCATCGTAACTAGCAGGGAATGATGGGGGCCACCCAGCAGGCAGAGGGAGAGGAGCCTCAGCATTCGGGAAATGAAGAGGCCTGGCTGGTGGGGAACCGGGGCAACAGCCAGGCGGGAGCAACACAGAAAGTCCCCGGCTTGGACACCCCAAAGCAAGCATAATGTTGAAGGTGGTGCTAGAACTCCCGAATGGACAGACGGTGGAGGAGTTGCCGCTAATTGATTCTGGGGCCTCAGCGCCCTTTTTCAGCAAGGAGTTTGCGGCGCGACACAAACTGAACCTGCGGCCTTTGGATTTTCTGCTGCAGGTGACAACAATTGATGGAAGAGAACTGCTGGGGGGTGAAGTGACGCATCGAACACCCCCAATGCGAATGCGTGTGGCCACACACTCTGAGGTCGTCGCTTGTCACGTGGTCACACTGGCGGAGCCGCCTATCATATCGGGCATGAGCTGGTTGGCGTTGCACGATCCGATGGTCTCCTGGCACCAACGGTCCCTGACGTTTGGCTCGACGCACTGCATGGAGAACTGCCTAGCCCAAGAGCTAGATCGACAAAGCGAGGGCAGGAGGGCAGCAGCATGCAGAGCGGGGACGAGCGAGATCCTGTCGTGTTACAGGGATCTACAGGAGGTGTTCAGCGAGAAAGAGGCGGATGCATTGCCACCCCATCGGCCGTATGACTGTCAGATCAACCTGGTACCGGGGGCCACATTGCCGGTGGGAAAAACCTATTCCATGTCGGAGGGAGAGCTCAAGGACCTAAAAGAGTTTATTGAGAAAAACCTGAGAAGGGGTTTTATCAGGGAGTCCAAGGCTGCAGGCGGGAGTCCCGTGTTTTTCGTCAACAAGAGATCGATGTAAGAGAGACGCCTAGTGGTGGACTCACGAATTTTGAACAGCCAGACGGAACCGGTGGCCTTCCCGATGCCGAGAATCGACGACGTTTTGGCACGGGTGCAGAAGGGGAAGATTTTCACCAAACTGGATCTCCGAGGGGC